GCTCTGCCAACATAAACTACGACTAGTTTATCCCTTGGGAACCTTAGCCGTTACAATAATATACCTCCCTTCTGTACCTCACACCCCCCAGGGCCTTCCCTTATAAGCCTGGGCTCCCAGCTTAAACCTGTGACCTTGTGAAGGACTTATTTAAATGTGACGGACTAGCCCAATTAGGCTATCGCGGGTGCTAGCCGCAGTCGTCCTAGGGGTTACCTGGAGCCCTATAATTAACCGTGGAGCCAAAAGGGTACATATTAAATAAGTCCCTTGTGACTGTTTAATCTAGCATTATACAGACTCGCTACCATCGCTAGGTCTAGGCTCTAGCCTGAGACCATAACAGCTTTATAGTATTCTTCTTAATTCTCCCCCTTATTTTTTCTTTTTTTCTTGCTTTTTTAGCTATTTTATTAAGTTTTTTAATTTTTTTAGTATTTTTAGCCTTTAATAATATATTTCTTTTCTTATTAATATCCTTTATAATAATAGCCTTTTTATTACCCTTTTAGGCTTATTAGCTTTAATCCCTAAAATTATAATAAATAATTTACTTATATTAGGCTTATTACCTTTTTTAATATTAGTTATAATTATAGTTTCTTTTTTAGATTATTAACTATTAACTAAGTCTAATATTAGTAAGCTATAATACTTTAGGGAGTAATATAAAGCTAAAAACTTATAAGTAGTTACTTTATAAAGTAATTTATTTAAATTAGGTATATAAAAGTAAAATAAGGTAATTATAAGAAAGATAATAAGCTTTATAAAAGTTAAGACTTTATTAATTTATATTATATTAAATTACTCTAAGTTTTTTAGGGTATAACTTATATAGTTATAAGTTATTATTATTATTATATATATACTTTTACTAGTATATAAAGTTATAAATCACTTTTTAAGCTAGTAAATTTAATGTATTATAATATATATATTATTTTTTAAATTATATATTATTATTAAATTAGCTAGGTATAGCTATTAATTATATTACTAGTAGGTCTTAGTAATTAACTAGCCTTTTTTTTATTTTTTTTATTATAATTTAATAGGAAAGTAAGCGACGTACCACGCTGAAAAAGAAAAAAAGGGGCAGCCTCGCTTTGAGTCGTGATGTGTGCATGTTTGCTTGTCCATGTATCAACCAGGATTTCCTTGCAACTATAAGAGTTTTTTAAATACTTAAATTAAGCTATTATAAGCCTTATTAATTTAAGTATTATAGCTATAATTATAAAGCTAGCTATATTATTTAAGGTAATTTATTTAGTTATAATAATTAAATTATTATTAAATTATATTATTTAAGGTTAATTTAGTTATTTTAAGCTTTATATAAGTAATTAACCTTAATTAAGTTAAGAATTTAAAGGGTTAAGTTCTTTATATCTTAGAAGTTAATATTAAGTATAATTTTTATATTATTTATTATTAAATTTAATTAATAGCTTATTAAAAGCTTTTAAAGCTATTAATAAAAATAAATAATAGTTTTATTAAGCTTTTAGTTATAATATTAATAATTAATAATAAGATAAGTATATAATAAGATAAATTATTATTAAAATTTATAAAGTATTTTATAAAAA